CTTTCGGCGTAACACACCAGCTTCTGCAGGCACGCGGCGCGGCGGCAGCTGGCTACATTGCACCGATCGACATCTTCACTGCCGCCACAAAATATCAAAACGAAAGTTTCGCTGCCGCCAGGGGGCGCACATTCTGATCACTTCCAGCACTGCAGAAGTGAATTCTAGGTCAAGGGCGTCTTGGTCATACCAGGTCTTTGCCCTCCACATGCCCTGCTAGCTAAAGCCTGTTTCAACTGCTTTTAAAACTATGAATAAGTTAGGATTTAGTGTTTAGTAGTTAGAGTAGATGCAATAGTTCTAGGAAAGAATAAGTTTTTGAACACCTCAATCCTTGGTTGATAACTCTGGTACTTGAAGGCATGGCTATTTCTTGTTGTTTTCTGAGCTGGTTTTAGGTACTTAGTGGTTGAATGGTACGTCCACACCACCTGTTTATAAGTCACTTTGTACATCATGCATAGTCTGGACATTTTTCTTCTGTCCTCCAGCGCACCCACTGTAGGTTTCTTTTAATTTCTGTCACACTAGCACCACTTTCATAGCTGTTCATGCACAGTCTTGCAGCTTGGTTCTGTTCCCATTCCAGTTTATCTGTGTCTTTTTTTGTAGAGGTACGTCCACCGGTGACTGCGTGGCAGGAGCTTCACTCCACAAGAAAATGGGTCACCAAAACACCGCGCGCTGACGGACTCTTCCTCTAAATAAACAACTGACCGCGAAACATTCGACATTTGGCACTGACCAGGCGCCGTCTGCCTGTATATACAAATCCTCTTGGTCTCAAAAAAGGACAGTTTTGTAAGATCGCCATTTTGAACCAAAACCGACTCAGAATGAAAAAAACAAAATCGTCCAGAAAGACCACATTTTGGATTTCTTCAGCATGTCAAAGTGTATTGAATTTGTACTTGTACGATACTGGCAGCTTCAGAGTTGTTGACGCTTTCAAATGGGAAGGGTTGATAGAAAATGTGTTTATACTCCTCGCTGGCATTACTAACTTTTCAACGTGCAATCTTTAAAACAACAACAAACATGGAACCATACTACATATACGCAGCGCATGGTGATTCCTATAACCATGTAACACACACGTAAACTAGTTGTTGTTTTGGCTAACAGTTTGTCTGTGGTACAGCTTAAAGCACAGGACAAATTTTACGCTTCCGGAGCAAAATTTATTTTTTCCTACTCTTGAACACACAGTCTGAACCTCCTACAACTCTTCTAGTGCGTAGTAACTGAAAACTGATGCTTGCAGCAGCTACTTTAGTTGGTGCCATTGCGAGAAAATGAAAACTGGGTCGGGATTTCAGTTTGACAACAAGCTGCCAGGGAGCCCAAAATCTAACCATTTTGAGGACTCATCTAGACCTACCAACCTACCAAGATTCGTAACAATCAATCCATAGCTTCTTGAGTTATCGTGCTATATCACATGCACACATACATGCATATATACTACCTACCTACATACATAAAAAACTCTACCAAACTTGACCTAAGATATGAAATAAAAAGCTTACCTCCAAGACCAAGTCTCAGAAAGGGATGGCGAAGGAAGGGTGGCCATGCCCTGTCTGACGTCACCAGACCAGAGCTCATGGCTCGTCTCTTCAACGGGCGAGAGACAAGCGGCAAGCGGGCGGCTACATTCGACTGTCCGGCATGGCTTGGACAGATCACATCTGCAGCGTGCAGGGCTCCGTATGCGCCTAGCCTCCACCAGGCCTCCCTACGGGGGCGCGGAACGTAGAATTCGGGAAAAAATAAAAAATTTGGCCAGGAAATTCAATCTGTAGGTGGGCAAATGAACCTTACGGTGGTCAAACTACTCTTTTACATGTATTCTCAGCTACGTTTAGCTAAATTTGACTGTTTTTGTAGAGGCTAACTTCTGCGAACTCGCTCAAGTTGTGAGAAAGTTCTGGCGACGGTAAATCTTGGGCTCGTAGAAGGCTCAAAAGGGGTTTAAAGGGGACACTTTTCTAATGAAAATGAGGCACATCTGCAGTGCACCGTAGCCTCCTTCAGGCCTTTCTACAGGGGCGCGACAGAATTCGGCAAAGGAAAAATATTTGGCCAGGAAATTCAGAAACAGAAAGGTTGCCAAACAACCCTGTCCATTTTTTCTCCGCTATTTGTCTAAATTTTACTGACCTAAAGTTACAAATTTTATTCCGTTGAGTTGTTTTTTTTGGTACATGTATTTCAAACCCTTATGGAGCCATACCGGTAAATGTTGGGCTGAAAGAAGGCTCATTAGGTGGTTTCAAGAAAAATACTCAAATCTTACTCATCGTAAGATGGAACATGAGTTTTAGAAAGATAACCCTGACGTGAAAAAATTACTAGTATATTCCAGTGAAATTTTATTTTTGTACTCGTATTTCAAACCCTTACCGAGTCATACCAGAGACTTGAACAATGGTGCACCCTGAGACGGGTTGGCGAGGTAATATCAGACACTTCTCATAAACAGACGTGACTTTACTCCCAGAAGACAGGCTCGGAGAGCGCTTCTACAGTTTACACAACTGGAGAAACGTTTTGTAACTTTAAACAATAGTTTCGAAACTGTCTGTGAAAACACCACCTGTCTTCGCTAAGATATTCGCTCTGCCGTTTTTAGTGAGACGCTAGATGTCACTTTTGTGTAACGCTACATGTTGCATTTGCAAATGACAATTTGTTGCAATGTTGTCTTTGCTACATTGTTGACTAGACATTGTAAAATATGTTGTATATGATGATATCAGGAGACTAGGTGTCCGAAGGGTCTTTAGAGTTCAGACTATTTTTTTTTCACTCGAATTATGTGATTTGATATTAATCTCGCCGTGCTATTCACTAATTCAGGTAACAGGATGTCATACTATGAACACGATTATATATCTTAAACTTTACCTGCACTACCGTTATTTGGATAACATACGGATGCGAAAAGAATCAAATGCAGTCGTGCTATAATAGGTTTGGTAACCAGGCTAACACACACCCTGGGGCTATTATTCAATAATCAAACTGAAACTGCTGAAACTACTACGTGGTTTCTATCTGACTCATACTTTCTGTGGGTGGATCTCAGATATCGATACTATTATTCCTGATTACCATACCGAAAGAGATCGCATTTCTGATCTTACTTCAGCCGGTTTACACTTAAAATCGTACTAACAACGTCCATTGAAAACATGACTGTACTTTTTCCGGCACTGGTCAAGTCTAAGCTGTTGAGGATCGCCCGCAAACTTGTGGCGGCCGACGCGAAGGCGGCAGAGCGGGGACTACTCCGAGCAGAGACAGACTACCTGCGTGTCCTGGCAGCCGCCATGGCCGACCCGGACCACCTGTTGGAAGCGGAAGCACTAGAAAATCTGGGCGACGTGAACTTGGAGATGGGGAAACTGGCCAAGGACGGGGCGAGGTTTGTTTGTTTGTTTGTTTACGCCAAAAAGCAGTTACTTAAGCAACTGGATATGATTTTGGAAACGGTCAGACGTTTCAGCTAGTATCCACTAGGTTTCGTCAGTGACTGGATGTTTAACCTTCATCGACGTGTTTGTTTGTTTATTTATTTAACCAGAGAACATATCGCCCTGGAGGGCGGTTTTCAATGTACCCGGGGGGCGATCTCCAAACACAATAAAATAATAACAATACAACATAAAGTAATCGCTGAAGAAACTACAATCAAGGGGCAAATTAAAAGAAGGTAACTTAATGGTAAGCATGAACTTTAGTAACAGAAGAATAAAGCGGTCCAAAATATGCATAAACCAAGGAGGTTAAATACAAGTATTTAACCTCCTATTAAAGTGCATAAACCAAAGAATATCAAATCAATCATACAAAAATCAAATAAATAATAAGTGAAGGGAGGAATTTGTATGTCAATGTACAATTGGCAGGTTTCATCGTGCCATGATGTTATATGCGGCGTCTCTGACACGATGCGAAGACCAAGATGTGGGTACATCTAAAAGCATCGCACACCGTATCCAGTACAAGTTACAGCAAACTTGCGGCCGAGAATCCACAGCTCACGCTAAACCTGACCGAAGCGTGAAAACTGCGGTCTCCAAGCCTGCTGAGGTGGCGGCATGGTTGCAAGACGTCGACTTCGGGCGCGACTTGAACTCTGTGCTGGTTGGATACGCACGGTTGGTGGTTGAGGGTATCGTTACGGAGGATACTGCACTAGAAGTAGAGGCTATCAAGAGCCTGGGCGACGTGTTCCTACAAAGAGGTAATAGTAGTGATTGTTTTTTTCTCTCATTAAAAAAAAATTGCAGTCTCGTTATGACCCGCGCACTGAATAAAACTTGGAAATACAAACCGAAAAACAAGCCGTATAACACACGACTGATTACAGATATCTAAAAGGATTTTAATGGCATTAAGGGATAGAATTTTTCTTTGACACATATATACCATAAAAAATACATATTGTTAATACAGATCTTCACTTGTTACTGAGTTATCGTTTCGTGCAATAGCTAAATCCATCCGTCATAATGAGAAAAAAATATAACACCATCGTAATGACATTGAACAGGTAGAGACACAGAGATCTGAAGAAAACCATTGACTTGACCAAGGCCGCTGCCCTGTACAACACGGCGCTAAAGCGGTGGGGTGGATTTCAGAGTGTTGTTTTGCTCTATCGCCTACTCTTCTTGGCAAAAATCAGAGAAGACATGGAAAAAACGATACCAAAGCAGGTACGAACTTCTTATGACATTAAGACATGTTGATTTAATTATATGGATGAAATCTCTCTTTTTCTCTCTCTCTTTCTCCATCAATCAGCCGACCAAACTCCCCTGGCATGCTATCTCTCTATTTGGCCGATTTCTACTCTTTCCAGCCGCCTCCCGAAGCCTGGTAGAGGCTAACGTTACCAAATTCCCTCTCAGTTTCATACGAACCCCGCGTTTACCTTCCCGCCCCAGAGGCGTTGCCAAAAAAACGTATTCTCGCGAGAGAACGCGAGTTTGATTTCAAAAAGTTGGCCGCCATATTTCTGCGCTCACGCTCTTCCATTTTCGTCTTCGCAACCAACAAAATTTCCTCCAGATTTCCGAGAGTCCGGCCAGTATTTATCCAAGCGACATGGCGGAACCCGGAGTGTCGGATGTCGCCGATCTTTTGGCGAAGACTAAGGTTGAACAGGTGAACGAAGTCAGCTTTAAAGGCAGAGGAATGAAACTAGACAAAGCAGAGGATGGTAAGACTATGTACTTTGTGTAGCGTATGATTTGTCTGAAGTGTGGTTGTAAAATTTATTGCAATGATACGATAGAAAACGAACAAGAAGTCAACAAATGATTACCCCCAACACGTCTGTTTCTGTTAGCCAGATAAGATTATGAAACGGTAAAACTGTGTAAAGTGTAGTTCTACCCAACGTCACATGTGCCCCCCTCCCCCAATTTATGTGATTTTTGACACCAACCAAATATATAACGATATATATATATATATTATAACAGTTGAACGGTGCTGTAACTGACACTTGCCTGGTCACTACTAAAAAAACTGCATGCCAAAAAGTGTGGGTTTTGGGGGTCTTCAGGGTCTTTGGGAGCTTTTATGTGCTATTTTCTGATTGCCTATAGACAACATAGCCGGCCTGGTTGAATTACCCCTGTTTTTAGAACTGGGCTAATCAGAAAACAGCCAAAGACCACCAAACCCCCAGTTCTATAAGCCTGCTACGGAGGCTAATCAGAAAACAGCCGAAGACCACCAAACCCCCAGTTCTATAAGCCCGCTACGGAGGCTAGCAGTATACAGTTATTTATTTTATCATATTTTATAAATTTTTATATTTGTTATCCCTCCCAGCTGCTGAGATAGTAAAGGCAGTGGAAGAGGCTAAAGACCTGCAGGCCCTGCGGCTGGAAGGGAACACTGTCGGGGTGGAGGCAGCCAAAGCCATCGCAGCCGCACTGGAGAAACATCCAGAGTTCGAGGTCAGTTACAAAACAAACAAACAAACAAACAAACAAACAAATATGTAGTACTGTAAGCTAGAAGGGAACACTGTCGGTGTGGAGGGAGCCAAGGCCATCGCGGCAGCACTGGAGAAACATCCAGAGTTCGAGGTCAGTAACAAAACAAACAAACAAACAACACTAGTAATACAACTAGCTCATATGCATAGCAATCTGCCATATGCCCGTGTTTTATATATCAATGCTATTTATTTTTGTACTTTGCCATACATTGAATTTGTACCATGATTGTGCAATAAAGTGCAATAATATTAATAACTATTATGTAACTATTACTAGTATATTGATTTTGTCTAATTGAATGAATTGAAATCGAACTAACCTTTCATCTAGATTCAAGTTCTCAATACAGGCTTTTGTATGAGATATGACACGTGAGACTTGCACCATGTTTGAAACATTGTTTAGAGGGTGTGATGGAATAATGTTGTTTTGTATTGATGTTGTGTTTTTAGAGAGCGTTATGGAGCGACATGTTCACTGGCAGACTGAGGTCAGAGATCCCACCCTCACTGGTGAGTGTAATTTTACCTAACTTCAGCCAAAATCGTAAAAAAAAAACTGCCTGCCAAGTGACACCATATTGTAAATAACTGACACATCTCCTGAATTATACTACATTTTTGTATTTATAGAATGTAACAATACTCTTCTTAGAAAAACACAATAGATTAGCTTTAGTATCACTATGGACTAGCCCGTTAGAATTATATCTTCTTGTTGTTTCTTCTTTGCCATACATTGTACCAGTATGGTTACATGGTATGCAATTACAGTTGTTGAGCAATAAAGTAAAACAGATTTTTTTCCTTCACACCCCAGGAAAGTCTAGGTGGAGCGGTGATCACAGCCAATGCCCATCTGGTGGAGTTGGACCTGAGTGACAACGCGTTCGGACCGGACGGGGTGGCGGCCTGCAGAGTCCTACTGACCAGCAAAGCTGTGTACACGCTGGAAGTCCTGAAACTCAACAACAACGGACTGGGGGTGGGAGGGGGGAAGGTAAGGCGTGTTTGGGATTTTTTTATTCACATTGTAACTAATGTAAAGCCTATGAAAAAAAAATTGGGTTTCCTGTTTCAGTCCTGAAAAAATTAGGGTCGGTAGGTAGGGTGTCAGATCATGGAGCTAGAAAAGGTTGATCAGCTTGAAAAATTAATTCAATTTATGTCGCTTGCAGGGGTCCACCCCCCAAAAAAGTCTAGGGTTGGCAGGTTTTTCTAGGGCCGGTTTGGAAACAGGAAACACAAAAATTTTTTTCGAGGCCTAGTAAGCCCCATCATTGTAAATATTACCTCTGATGTGTTTTGTTTTCGGTGTGTCAGTTTGTGTGTTTGCTTACATGTGCTGTAGTTATTTCTATGTTCAGAAAGTCAAGTGAAATGAGTTTTGTCTGTCCAGTATTCGTTTCTATGTGTGGGACACAACACTAGCAACAGCTGCTTGGGACTTAGTGGTCTTCGACTATTTCTATATTACCTACCTGCACATATCTCGCAGGTAGGTAATATTGAAGTGACATAGATTATTGTTTGTTTGTTTGTTATCATAACTCAGCTTCAAATCACTTGCAGAAAATGTAAGTTTTGATGCAATTGTTTGTTTGTTTTATTTTCCAGATTTTGTCAGAAGCCCTGATCGAGTGTCACACTGCCAGCAGTGCGGAGGGAAAACCCCTGGCACTGAAGGTGTTCATCTCTGGTAGGAACCGTCTGGAGAACCCTGGAGCAACAGCACTGTCCAAGGCCTTTAAGGTGGGGGGACATTCTCACAGTGTTTCACTGGGTTCAGTGTTGGAAGGCCTGGAAATATATCTCCTAACAGATCATACGGTGGCAAGGCAGTATATCCATTGGCCAGAGGAGTGTCTGTTAGTGGGTGGCCGATGGATACTGTCTGGCCAATTTGATACTGTCTTTTTTGGCCATCGAGAGGGATCTGCTTGGAGATTACTGAAATACATTTTTCACATTGCACTGCAGCACAGGTGTTGCTGCTACAGATGTAAATACTGTACATTTGGAAATGTATCTATAACAGCGACACCTGTGCTGCAGTGCAATGTGAACCAGTCAGAATTGCCCTGAGGAAGGTGACAGACGGTCACCAAAACGTCGACTGAATAAAAGACTTGGTTGTGTAAAAAGAGTCTCTCTACCCCTTTTGATACATGTTTTTGTGTGTGCATATTTCAGATCATAGGAACCCTTGAGGAAGTCTCTATGCCCCAGAACGGTATCCAGCACCAGGGCATTACTGCACTGGCAGAGGCTTTCTCACAGAACAACAACCTCAGGGTAGGCATCAGAATGATTACTACATGTTTAAAGTTAAAACTTTTGATCCAACACAAAAACACTTAGAGCTTTCGACCAGTCACTCTGGTCTTCCTCAGTAGACTGACCCAGTGAGGCTTGTCATGTGGCTTCTTTGAAGTGTGACGTTAACACTGGGTCAAAGGTATCTGGTAGACGATGTCAAACCCCGTGCAGATACCATTGACCCAGTGTTGATGTCACATTTCAAAGAAGCCACGTGACAAGCCTCACTGGGTCAGTCTACTGAGGAAGACAAGGGTGACTGGTCGAAAGCTCGAGGTGAGATAATTTTTTGTGTTGGAACAAAAGTTTTGACTTAAAACATGTAACTACCAATACAGATGAACTTTCATGATAGTATGATTACTACATGTATAATTTAGGTTAAATTAGCTGGGACTTTATTCCTCGGTATTATGGGAAAAGGTGCCGTTCATGGTGTTTTAAACTAAGCTATCCTTTGGGCTTTTCCACCATTATGCATCACTGCACTAGCAGAGGCCTTCTCGGAGAACAAGAATCTCAGGGTAGGCAGACTGTGGTGTCAGCCTAGTAGGATATAGGAATGATTTTTTTACACGGCCTGTACTTCTCTCACTCTGCTTACATTTCAGTTCCTCTTACTTAGTCTTAGGGCATTCCTTTATATTCGTAATTTAGGAAGATGGCATGCCTTACATGTACATGTACATGTACATTGTACATGCATATGGTGTATTGTTTCTACTTACAGGTCCCTTGACCAAGGGTGGTCGTGGGGATGCCTAATGGCTAAGCACACTGCCTCCCTCCATCCTTTTCTGGTGTATTGTACATGCATGTGCACATAGTTTGTAGATTCTATTCTAATTTGAATGTTTTCTGATTTTTGTTTAGGTAGTGAACTTGAATGACAACATCTTCACAGAAAAGGGTGCAGAATCCATGGCCAAGGTGAGAGCAGTCAACAGTGTTCATAGTTTGTACATAGGGAAGGAGGACATAAATAGTCAGTCTGAATTACTTAGTACTTACTTGTAATTACTGTCTGAGCTTAAAGCATATACATACCATAGTACACTCGGGTGAGAGCTAGCTACAGACAACTTTGTTCATTTTTTTTGTACAGCAAAGTAGACTACTAGTACAGAAAACAGTCTGAAGTTTATGTACATGTATAGACCATGACGATGGTATGGAGTGTCATGGAGTGAGTGTAGTCATGTGAAATTTTGACATCTACTTACACATTATGGTTTCACAATGTCCTCTTCCTAGATTTTTACTTGAAAATGTCTTAAAACCAGTGGAAAAATTTATATTGTTTTAATTTTCCTATTGTATTTATCAGAAATATACAGTTAATTCAATTATGTAATTATCTAATATGTTATCCTTCCCCACCCTTGTTCTAGGCCCTTCCCAACATGACTAGTGTAGAGGTGATTAACTTTGGAGACTGCCTGCTGAGGTCTGGGGGAGCGGAGGCCATCGCCAAGGCCATCAGCAGTACTCCTCAGCTAAAGGTAACATGGCAATTAAAAGTTAGTCCTTCCCGCACCAGGTGACGCATAGGGCGGCGCCCATCTCCAGTTCAGTAGCCCGTGGGCCACGCAGTTGTGCAATCACTACAGCAGGGGGCTAGCTAACTGGTAATGCTGTTTGTTCAACTCCCATACTCTTTCCCAAATGCTGAGTGCCAAGCAGAGAAACCTGTACAAGTGACCACCTCTACATAGGGACCACCTGGCCATTGTGACCACTTTTTGCTGGTCAATAAATTTTCCCATTGGTACAAGCATTAAGAATCCTGTCTACATGTATAATGACCACCTGTGCAACTTAATGCAACTTAATGATCATCTTGGGCAGTTTGACTGTGTATTGTTATGATAGAGCTGAAACCTAAATGAACATTCAGGTACAGTACTAAAGTCCAAGTGATAATATATTAATTTGCAGTAGTGCATTGTATATATAACTTGTGCCAGAAAAAATGTTACTCTTGGAATTTCTGTAACCAGACTGAGTGAAGTTTTTTTGCCTCTGTAGGAGTTGATTCTGTCGTATAACGAAATCCGGAAGGACGCAGCGATCTCAGTAGCAGAGGCTGTGGAAGGCAAAGAACACCTCAAGAAGCTGGACCTGAATGGTAAGTCCTTAGAAAGTGAAAGTGCTCTGTAGAAGACAAGGAACATCTCAAGAAGCTGTTGTAACTGAATTGTAAGTCCTTAGAAAGTGAAAGTGATCTGTAGAGGGCAAAGAACACCAGTCCTCAAGGAAATAGATCTCAATTGTAACATATCAACAATGTCTCACTTCTAATCTATATGTACTGTAGTAAGCTTTTTATTTTATGTTATTTCAGTTAAAAAGGAGTATTCCTTTTTGATCCCTGACCAAGTCAAAACAATGGAAGATTTAAGAAAACACTGCAAAGTAAAAAAAAAAAGTGAAAATCTCCTTTTTCCTTTTCCCCCTGACCACTAAATAAAACCACTGCCAAAGTAAGTGAATTTAATTACAGGATATTGTCACTTGCTGTCTTTTGTAGGTAACCAGTTAGGAGAGGAGGGGATAGAAGAACTGTCGGGTACACTGGAGGCGTTTGACATGGTGGACGTGCTGGGTTCTCTCAGGTAGGTAGTCAGTTTACAACTTACTCTTGGAAGTTTACATTAGTATATGCTTAAAAGTTTACTTAACTTAAAGTTTGCATAAATCACTTCTGTTTATTTTCGTATGGAAACACCTGGAAAAATAAAGAAACAAACAAATACTGATGTGATGGACAGTCAGAATCTTAAGGACCACAGGAAGAATAGCTAACAGGTGTAAAGCTAAATTGTTGATCCCAACATACATTGTATCACAGACTAGTGAGTGTTTATATTACAAACATTATTTTATAAACAATGTGTATAATTTGCTGTTCATGCAATTCATCCTATGGCTGCTTGTACTTGGGAAATAATAAAACTATTCTATACCCCTCCTCTGTTTTAGTGATGATGAGGGAGATGACATAGATGATGATGATGATGAAGAGGAAGCTGCAGAGGAGGAGGACCAGGAGGAGGAGGAGGAGGGAGAGACTGTGGATGATCCTGAGTTACAGGTGCGAGGTACCGCCATCACTCCAACCAGGGACAACCAGTCTCCTCTCAAGGTAGGACAGCTTCACTTCTGTTGCTTCAGATCTGAAGAATTTAATTTGTTGGTTTTCAGATTTTTTAAAAGATATCTGTGGGATCGTGTGGCGTAGCGGCAGAGTGCTCGACTCGGAACCAAGAAGTCCCGGGTTCAAGTCCTGTCATGCCACTGATCTTGTGCCCTTCGGAAAGGCACTTTACACGACTTTCCTCACTTAACTCAAGACAAGTGAACACTGAAAATTAGTACTGTATGTGTGGGACACAACACCAGCAACAGCTGCCTGTGTCCCATGGGTATTGTACTGTTACAATTCCAATAAGTCAAGAAACAGGGGGAAAAAAACAGGCATCCTATGAATAGTATGATAGCCCCAAATATTACAATAGGAGTCATAAAGTCAAAAAACAATGAACTTTAAAATTTTACTTAAACCACTACGGTAACCATGGATAGATGGAAAAACTGACAACTAGGAAGGCAAGGACTTTCTTCAACTGTTTGGGCCAAACTGTGAGCATTTTGAGGATTTTTTTTTACATTTTTCTTTGTGTGCTTTCCCATCGCAACTGTCACTTCTTTCCTGATCACTACTTCTGGCTTCTGAATAAAGACCAATGTTTAAGACTTCTCAGTGTAATTTACATCCTTCCAGTTATAACTTGTGTTGAGTGCAGTCTTTAAGGCCTAGAAAGAAATGTTTTGTTTTTGGTACTGTGTTTGTTAGAACACTTCAACAAAAATCAATTTGAAAGTAAAAAGCACAAGAATCCCAGCCTACCAACTCAACTTTTTAGGACTATAACCAGAAACACAATGATTTTTTTCTAGGCCTACAGTACATAAGCCCTTTTGACATCTTTGAAAGTTTGTTTGTAAGAATTCTGAAGAAAGACCCATGATCAAGTCTTAAAAAAAATTCCTTTCTTATTTCTGCAGACGAATGAGACGGAAGACTTGACAGAAGTGATGGGAAAGCTTGCCTTGTCTTGACACGCATCAAGAAAGTTAGCCAGCGTCTTATAGACAGTTACGGTCCCTGAGTAGAGACTCTTTTTTCACAAGTGTTTTATTCACAGCCAACGTTTTGATGATTGGTTGTCTGTCATCTTCCTCAGGGCAATTCTGACTGGTTCACATTGTACTGCAGCACAGGTGTCACTGCTATACCTAGTAGATGCATTCCCAAATGTACAATATTTACATATCACACATATACATGGTTATGTACAGGGAACTGTATCTACACTGTGTCTACAGCAGTGACACCTGTGCTGCAGTACAATGTGAACCAGTCAGAATTGCCCTGAGGAAGGTGACAGACGGTCACCGAAACGTCAGCTGTGAATAAAACACTTGGTTGTGTAAAAAGAAATCAGAGTAGGTCACAAGAATGTGGATAAACGTGCTTGGAAAAGATTTTACTCAGGCTAAATTCATCTACTAGTATCGCTTTTAACATAAAACAGTAGGCTATGAGTCATTGTGTGTGTTTAGGAGAAACTATTAGGACATTCCTCTGTGTGTATAGCCAGTGTAGGACACTGCAAACTTTCTGCAGGGCAGAATATGCAAGAACTTAATGTTTTGCTGTGAATAGTTACATTTGTAGGTATTTTATCACCCTGAACAAAAAATAACTTTCATGATGGTCTTTTAGCAAAAATTGTTGCAATGAGAGAGCCCCTAACTTAAGTTAAAATGGGGTTTGCAAAACAAAGTCTATTTCCTTTCCAATCTTGTTTTCCATGCACTATTACATATTTCTTGTGAATTGAGGAAGAGTTGCAATATTTTAGTCAGTTCATACAATGTGTGTTTGAAAACTTTGAATGCAGTGTTTAGTGTTTTTTCCAAAGCTGTGTTGTTGTTTTTTTTCAAATCTCAGGTAGCATGTTTTCTAGGACACTCAGTGAAACTGTCATAGTCATAGTTTTTAGAAATGTAATTATATGCGTGTGTCTGCAACTTCTGGATGTTAGGACTTTTTAAACAGATTTTTAGTTTTGTTTCAATAGCATAAAAATGTGTGATTGTGAAAATTAATGTTGCATTGAATGTAGTACATGTATAACACATTGTGTCATACTATGACACAATGTATGACTATTAGTAACAATAAGATTATTAATATTATTATGAATAATGGATTTTTAGTGTTTACATACATGTATTTCATATCATTGTACAATACCTGTAAATCATTGTTGCTGTCATTGTATTGTCCACCTTTGGATTTGAAAGTGTAGATAAAATGTCACCAAATGTTGCTGTGTTGTGTTTCTGTTGTTTTTGTTTTTAGAAAACATACCCATGTGCTGATTACAACATATTTCATTACAATTATAGCCAAGCCTAAGCATACAGATTTATTGGTGGCTGTTCATGTATCAAACCACCTTATAAAACAATTTTTTTTTTGCATCACCCCAAGTCTTTTAGCAACTAGGAAGAAAAGGACTTTCCTCAACTGTTGGGGGCAAAATATGAGTTGATTCAGAACCAGAATCTTTTTTTTTTTCAAATCTGAAAAAAAATGAAGAGGTGAATCCAAGAACCAACAAATTAAATTGGTGTGGCCTTATGTAGAGGTTGAAAACATTTTTATATACATTGTACATTTGCAACTAAAAAGTGCTCATATTTTGCCTCCAACAGTTTAGGAAAGTCCTTTTTTTTCTAGTTGTTACAGTTTTTCCATCTATCATTGCAGTGGTTTGATTAAAAGTTCAAAATTCATTGTTTAAGTATTGACCCAGCCTTTTGCATTGACTTCATGACTCCTATCGTATCATTTGGGGCTATCATAGGATGCCTAGATCTGTTGTTTTTTCCCCTGTTGCTTTATATTTTTTCCCAGAATATCCAAGAACCAACAAATAAGATTGGTGTGGTCTCAGGTAGAAAGGTTTATACATGTATGTAATAATGTAGCTGATTGTTCCCCAGGTGTCCTACACTGCCAGAGAGTTCCTGGACTCACCATCAGCTGACAGACTGCTGGGACTGGGGAAGGACCGAGCTCAACTACTGGTCAGGGAACTGGGGGTAAGGAACGAATATACTGAATTTGTGTGGAGCTAGTATGTGGGATCGAATTGCTGAGTGGTTAGGCTAACAGACACGATACTGAGACACAGTCACGGGTTCAAATCCTTGCATAATCCTGGCAAGATGGCATCTCCTTAGGAAAGGCACTTTACATGGATTTTCTCACTCTTTCAGGTGTAAAATGGGTAACTGACTTTGGCCTTGGGGAGGGAAAAGGTGGAAGGAGAGGGATGGGCTCCACCTTCCAATACCATGCTATAGACACAGTGGACTACAATGTAACAAGTCACTGCCCTATGGCCTCAAAAAGGCTAAGGAACTACAGTGTACATGAAGATCAGACCTTTACCCTTTGGGTTATGTGTGTGGGGGGGGGGGGCTATATAGGGGGCTTGACTTTGTTGTCTGTTCACTTCTCCAGGACAGTTGAGATGATGCTGACTGTGTTGTAATTGTAGATGGTGTAGACATGGTTGTATGTGGTGTAAATGTGGTGTAATCGTGGTTGCACGTTTTGTTGTTGTCCCCTTTTCAGGACAGTTTAGATGACGCAGACTGCGCTGCCCAAAGCCTGATGAAGGTGGCTTCAGTAGTGACAGACAACACGGCCGTCAAGAGTGCTGCTTTCCAGTGTGCAGGTAAGTGTGTTACTCATTCACTCAGCTACAACAGCACATCGGCAGAACGTACTGCGCCTGCGCAAAACCCCCATTTTTAACAGTTTTCGTTGGATGTTTGGTCAACGTTGCATGAGAATTTTGCCTGATGCAGACAATATTTTTTTCCGACATAACATTAGGGATCTACAGACAGAGTATTCACCTTACAAATATATATGTCTGAATACGACCTTATATGAGAGGTTCTGCCGAAGTGCTATGTACAATTCATTACGGGTTTCTCGCAGATGCAGTATGTTCTGCCAACGTGCTAGCTACAGCAATTACAATGACTATTACATGTTACACTTGTAGTTCTATCAGCCTGTCCTAGTCAGCAATCCCCATACAATCAGAAGTTTCTATTGTTAACAATTATTCAGAGTCTGTAATATAAAGATGGTATTAATTTCACTTTAGATACCTCTGGGGAAGGAGATATCCTTCCACAGTAAGGTAGTGTTTTCTGTCACGCTTGTGTGTTTCCAGCTATATATACACATACGTCACGTAGGGTTTGACAGATTTGTTTGATTTTCAGCATTGATAAGTTACTGGTATTGGTTTCTAGATAATTCAGTTTGTTTTTTTCTTTGTATCTAAATTTTTAGGTGTTGAAATAAAGCAATTATTTGACATCCCCATGATGTAGGCTCATTTTGGTATGACAAATTCCAAGTTGAATTCTTTGTCTCATTTTTCAGATGCCATTCTGACCAGAAGTCTGCAGTCCAAAGAGAGTCAGCCCACCCTGATAGCCAACGGTCTTCTCGTGCACATGGGACTGCTGAAGGTACAGTTTGTACACCTCATGTTTAAAAGTTTTAGCTCTGTGATTCATTTTGCTATACAAACAAGCCTTGCAGTTGCAGCGCAAAACTTACATTGTGATCACTATCTACAAGAAGACATAACATTTTCCTGGCTGCCTTTCCTTTTTTAAAAGTAACAAACAGTAGTTCTGTAGTCCTTGGCCAACATATATCAGTAAGTACTACATAAAGATGGGACATGAAGCTGAAGGTTCCATGTTACAACAGAACCATATCTCTAGCATGCTTAAGATTCCACCACACTTAACGAAAAAAATAGGGTTCCTTCCTGGTGTGACTGGTTCAAACCTTACAGTCCATTCATGTGTGGCTTGTATGTACTGACTATACAAAACTGTGAAGGTGAACATTATGCATTTGCTTTGCAAATGTTACCTTTTGACACTGTGTTCCCACAGAGTGAAGAGAAGGTCCAGCCTGTGGGAGACCTCCAGGGTCCCCTCATCCTGCTGCAGCACATGTTCCAGCAGGTCTACTTCCCCAGGAGTCTGGCACAGCTGTTCATAGCCTTCCTCACAAGGTTTGTACTCTCTCTTACTCACTCACTCACATACACAAACTCTCCTCACCTCCATACATGTACATACTCTAACTCTAACCCTAACCTGCTGCAGCACATCTTCCAGCAGGTCTACTTCCCCAGGAGTCTGGCTCAACTGTTCATAGCCTTCCTCACAAGGTTTGTACACTCTCTTACTCATTCATTCACGCACTCACTCACTCACTCTCACTCACTCACACACACACGCTCAAGCACTCACTCGTCATGCACTCACACTCACTCACACACTCACTCACTTATTCACTCACCCACCCACTCACTCACTCAATCACTAACTCACACACACACACACACTCACTCACTATCCATTCAGCATCTTTTGTTAACCGTTTTTCCGAGGCCGCCTCTTCTTCCAAAAACACTTGAGGTCAATGACCTGGACCAGATGTCTGTCACCATGGTAACTGGTGCTGTAACAGATACCCCGTGGTGTTGGGTTACATTGTGTAGCAAGTGGCAGGAAAGAGTTGAAGTGGCTGGTCACCATACGTATATATAAATGTGTTTGGGTAATAATAAACAAAGCACTAGTTTGTTAGGCTAGACCATGTGAAGGCATTTTTACTAAACGTTAGGCATTTGCTTGGTTTGCGTTTTTGTCTGAATGTTTGGATTATGTTAACATTATCTGTTTTGTTATTTTCAGACCAAACAGCCAGTTGGAGAGACATGCCCACCTACAGCACCAGATACTGCAGACCCTGCATCAGATGTGATGTTTCCAGACAGATTTTAACATCAGATTTCACCCTTTCATCTATCCAGCCTTCAGCACCTGATTCTAGAGACTGTTGTTACTACAAAACTTGACATACATGTATGAGCCCTCGGATGGGCTTATGTATCTGTATCGGTATAGCTGGTATAACCACCCTTTTCGTAACACACCAACTATGTATGTGCTGCTCCACGTAGTCAAGTCAAATCACTTGCTTTATTTTCCTTTGAATGCTTAGTAAAGAATGGGTTTTCAGAAAGCCAGGCTAAAATTACATCATGTAATAACTTTAAATTATTAACATCTACTTCATGGACAGAATTGTAGGGGACATTTGTAAATTCTGACCTACACATCTGCAAGGATACATTATATGGTGTGTTTTCATGTCACACTGCCTAGGCAGAATGCTGTCACTGAGTTGTGCACTGAGGAAAGAATTAACTTCATGCTTAAATTTGCATGTGGAGTTTTCATTGATGAAGGCACCACAATATGATAATTGAAGCCCATCCAGACTGCTCCCATTTTAATTTTGCGAGCATAAAAAGTTAGGTCGTGTGCCTATGAATTTTTCATACCTCCTATCAAGTCTTGCATGCAGTGTAATATCTAAAGTGGTGCACCTACATGTACATGTAGATATTTGCTGGTGTGCCCAAATTTATTGGGTTGGCAGGACAGTAAGATAGACTGGTGATGTACAGTGCGAAAATAAACAAAAGTCTCTAGTAGGTACATGTGGCATGTTTGCACTGAATTTTTATTATCTGAAGTGTGCACCACTATTGTGAAGACATTACTATTTACCAGTATTTACATGTTGTTGCAGAATTGGTAAGATTACTGAGAAGATGTGTTTAGTTCGTAAATGACTAGTGTATCTTGATTATGCGCCAAAAAACAGTTACTCAAGCAACTGGATATGATTTAGGAAATGGTCAGACGTTTCAGCTAGTATCCACTAGCTTTCGTCAGTGACTGAGAGACCAGAGGAAAAATGCAGGTTTATAAGCACAAACTTATTGATTGATATGCAAATAAACCAAAGTCAATTTTTGGAAGTCCAAAAGGATGAATGAAGAGGATGCAAGTTTGAACTTTAATTTTCAAGAGAAGAATTTGGACCCAGTCACTTTGTTAAGGAATACAAAGTAAGTGATATTTCCTAGAATGTAGTTGAATTTACTTACGGAATAGAGTGTAAACAATTTTGAACAAGCGGAAAGAAAGGTGAACATCTTTAATTGTTTATAATTATACAAATGTTTATGACAACATCATATGTGACGTCTACATTGGATTAAAGGTATCTGGTGGTATTGACGTCACACATCACTCACTGTGTACTGAGGAAGACCAGAGTGACTGGTCGAAAGCTCTAGGTGAGAGAACGTTTTGTGTTGGATCTACTGTTTTAACTTTAAACACCAACACAGATGAACCTTCATGATAACCCAACCATGTTCACGGTAGTGGTTCCCAGACATGCGTTTAATGTCCCACGACGTCTTCTAAAAGCGAGGTGCCGAAATTAGAAGCGCGCTAGAGCGTAACTTCTCTCACGTGAAACAGACAAGGTCAGCCTTCTCATGTTCCCCAGGCCTAGGGAAAAATGCTGTGTTTCCTGTTTCAGTCCTGAAAAATTAGGTTCAGTATTTACGTAGGTAGGGATTTAGCCTCTACCAGGCTTCGGGAGACGGCTGGAAAGAGTAGAAATCGGCCAAATAGAGAGATAACATGTCAGGGGAGTTTGTCTGCTGTAGAAAACAGTTTGCCGCTCCCGGGTGCGGCAAAATGTACTCTCTAGCGGCCAACTCCCCTGGCATGTTATCTCTATCTATTTGGCCGATTTCTACTCTTTCCAACCGCCTCCCGAAGCCTGGTAGAGGCTAAGGTTACCTGGCAGTGTCGCTTTGTTTTGATTTCGAGTGACACGCGAAACCCTCACTCCCCTCAGGTCTCGTGAGACAACGCGTGAGTTCAGGTAGTTGGAACCATGCAGGGAGAAGGACGAGCCCCAGTCGTGGGGCACTGACAGCTGCACTCAGTAAAAAAAGGTGAGAGAGGAAAGATCAACGGGAAAACCTGTACAAACAACAGAAAAGAAGACTACTTAAAACCGTTCTTACGGAAAGCCACTGTGAGTTGTTGAAGTTATCCAGATGTTGTCATGTAAGGTAGACTAGTTTGAATGAGTTTAAAAACCACGAACAAGGTTGAACTAAAATGTGATGAAACCTTTGGACATGGGCTTCAAGGGGGACTAAATATACTCCATTGACTCCTGACATAAAAAGCTATATGACACAAAAAAAGAAGACCTCAGCCTGTCCAACATAAAAGGTTTGATAGCCGAGAGTTAGGTTAGTTGGGGCACCAAGAAAATCCTCCAGGAGACCCATAATTGACCTTGACCTTCGTCTTCACAAGACGGAATGGAACCTTCTCCCAGTGGCTCGTTGTAGGATGGCCGGCTATTAAAATAACGCGTTAAAAACTCTTTCCCATCCGCCGCGGGGCCTGCACAGGAGGCTAGGCCATCCAGCCGCCGAGAGAAGGTTTCCATCAAAGATTCCGGCCGGAGCCTGCACAAGAGGCTACACAAAATCTCAGAAGTTCCTTTAAAAGGTCCGTATCACCATCAGACTGACAATGGCTTGTATTCAGTGTGACCCTATTCTGTCGTGTTACACTTGCGGGTTACTCCGATGATTCTGAGCGGACCAGACGCGCGTCAGCTTTGAACACGGCGATGTCACCTGATCATAGCTGAACCCTCACCCTTTCCTAGACCCGCCAACTCCAGGGGGCGGGCCTGAAGTTAACTGTTAAAGGCAAAAGGTAAAGAGGTTAGTGAGTACCGTATATAGTGCAGTTAGTGTTTGTTTGTTTCCCATACCAGCTTTGTACATGTACGTGTAAGTACAAGTTGCGTAAGACCGGACTGCAAGGTTTGAACCACTCACAGTGGGAAGATCCCCTAGTGTGGTGGGTTCTTTAACGTGCGTGGGGTGTGGCTCTCCCAAACACGAGACCTCCATTTAACGTCCTATCCGAGGGACGTCCCTAACCGAAGCTGGGTACTCATTTACATTTACACCTGAGTGAAGTGAGGAAAATCGTGTAAAGTGTCTTTCCCAAGGGCACAAGATCGGTGACATGGGCAGGATTTGAACCCGCGACCTCTTGGTCCTGAGCCGAACACACTACCGCTACGCCACACGACCCCACTGTGTCCCTTTCTCTCGTGCAACTGCTTTTATCACTGACTCTACAGTATTTTTCAGGGGACTGGCACGAAATTACATGTAAAAGGGAAAAGGTGAACAGGTTAGCGAATACCATATATAGACTCATCTGTGGTGAGTGTGCCCCTTTCTTTCTAGTCTCTCATGCTTTTGTCACTAAATCTACAGGGTTTTTTTTCAAGGGGTGGGTCGAAAATTACCTGTAAAAGGGCAAAAGGTAAAACAGGTTACCGAATACCATATAGAACACAGTGTATAGAAACACATTTGTGGTGTGCCTTTGGTTCTTTTAGTCCCTCGTGCAACTGCTTTTGTCACGTTTTTTCATGGGGCTGGTAAAAAAAATAGCTGTATAAGGCAAAATTTAAGCAAATTAGTGAGAATACCATAGCCACATTTGTGGTGAGTGTGTCCCTTTCTCTTACTAGTTTTAGTCTTCCATTCCACTGCTTTTGTCACTAAATTTACGTTTCTGAAAAGCAGAAATTTGTACAGCAACGTTCAGAGGTGTTCCCTTTGTGTTGTGTTAACTCAATGATTTTAGAATGAAAAGGAACCGTTTTGGTTCGTGCGAGTTTTCATTCCGACGTTAACAAGTTCCCCACGGTCAATCTAAAGGTGCACACGGTCACAATTACTGCTTTTAGGCCACACCAATTTAATTTGTTGGTTTTCGAATTTTTTCAGAAAAGAAAAGAAGGGACAGGGCGAAATTAAAAACGAAGATGCGAATCCGAGAACCAACAAATCAAATTGGCGTGGCCTTAAGTTTCTCAACATACGAGCAGATGTCTGGTTGTGGTTAGTTTGTTTTCATTTTACATATTTTGACTGGCAGTGGAAAAAAAAAACGTGCCATCTATAAAAGACGCGTACATGTACAAAACGAGTCTATGCCCATACATCTACTTGAATATACTGTAAATCCTTTAATTTTCGCCGCGAGTTGATTTCGCGTAAGCAGGAGGAAATATGTCTAGCTGAGTAAAGAGACTCTGTCTACACAACCAACTCTTTTATTCAGCCGACATTTCGGTGCATTGCACTGCAGCACAGGTGATAGATGCACTTCCAAATGTACAATACTAGTATTTACATGCTACAATGCAATGTGAACCAATCAGAATTGCCCTGAGGATGGTAACAGACGGTCCCCGAAACGTCGGCTGAATAAAAGACTTGGTTGTGTAAAACAGAGTCTCTTTACTCATGCCTAGGTCTGATTTTATTTATTTTTCTGAAAATATTCAAGAACCAACAAATCAAATTGGTGTGGCCTCATATTAAAGACCGGGTGTAGGACACCCCATCTTCCCCTGCGGCGAAAGGGCCGACCGCTGAAGATCAGTGTTTTCATTTTACGTATTTTGACTGGCAGCGAAAACCTGTGCTATCTATGAAAGACTTGTACAAAACGAGAACCAACAAGAGTCCCACGATCTCATACCTTCGCCAAATGATGTTAATCTTTATGACAAAGTAAAGATTATTCCTCCTGATTATGCAAATAGGATCCTCATTTGCATGAATTATATGAGTTGATCATATTATCCATAAAAGACAGCCTTATCTTAAAAAAGAAAGCCATTCTATCATTACCTCATAAATTATGCAAATGAGGTCCTTATTTGAATAAATTATGTTTAATGATGTTCACATTCACTTAACTTGCAAATACCCTAAGTATGAAATTCCAGGCAGTTACCATTATGGAATTATAACATTTTCTCATTAATTATGCAAATTAAGTGTTAATTTCCATAATTAATATCTGCCTGTGTTTTTCTCGTTGTCAATTACATATGTCTCAAGCTTGAATAGTCCTATAATGTAATGCAGCTGATTTACCGAATTTCCTCATTAATTATGCAAATTACGTCCAGATTTGCATAATTGTCGCATAATTATGTCAAGCATCACTTAAGCTACTTACATAACAAAAATCATGATGATCCGTCCACCGGTTCTTGAGTTATCCTCTTATGAATATTTTCAAAGAAATGGCCCTGCAGTTCCTGAGCAAGCCGATAGGGGGCCCAAACCTATGTCACTTATTCCCCAGCACAAGACCTACCTACCATCCAAATTTCGTGACCCTAGCACGTCCAGATCACGAGATATCAAAACCGGAAGTTCAGCTGCAGTACCATAAGAAGCCGCCAGGGGGCTCAAAATCTAATCATTTCGAGGTCTCATCAAGACCTACCCACCTACCAAATATGAAGTCAATCCATTTAAGCCTTCTCAAGTTATCGTGTTTACAGACAGACAGACAGACAGACACACACACGAACGCCTACGAAAACATAACCTTCTTGGCGAAGGTAACAAATTAGATTGGTGTGGCCTTATGTTAAAGACCGGAGTGTATAGGACACCCCGTCTTCCCCTGCGGCGAAAGGGCCGACCGCTGTAGATCCGGGCCTGGGGGCGAGAGCAATTTTCGGGGTCAACTTCTG